GAAGGAAGGAAGGAAGGAAGGAAGGAAGGAAGGAAGGAAGGAAGGAAGGAAGGAGATAGGTTCTAATCAAAATTTAGTTGTCTGGCAGAATTTTATTTATTTATTTATTTATCATATTTATATAGCCGCCCATCTCACACAAAGTGAATTCACAATGTAACAGCAAAAAAATACATTCAAGAATATATATATATTCATGGAAATGATATATACACAAATGGTATTATATTAAGGGATTATATTAAGGGAACTACTCTACAGAAACTATGTAAGAATTTCACACAAAAATACCTCCGTTTGGAGAAATGTGCTCCCAAATACACTGAAAACATTACATTAAAAAATAATTCTCAAGCTCAGTGACCCACATTTGATAGAGAAACTGAAACTGGAAGATTCCCAAAATTGAGAAATTGGAACGGAAAGAGTCTCAAAATTAGAATAATTGAAATCAACAGGTTTGCCTCTCCCTGCCAAAATTCATTCCCACTTGGCACCCAATGGAATTCAACTCCAATTTCCAATTCACTTTTGAAGCAAACACAAATCTGAGTTAATAATATCACAGGAGCCTTTGGAAGAGCTATTACCTGATGACAGATCTCAGAGCATTGTCCTGCTTAGAACAACAGAAGCGCCAGGGAATTTTCTTTAAACTGGAAGGATGATGGAATGGGATAGCCTGGCAATGTCAGGACTGAATGGTGCATGAAGAACTGAAACGTGCTGAAGAATTGAAACATGAGGAATAGCACACGCTTGGAGAAAATAAGGCTGTGACCGTGTTGTGATGCTATCGGAGTTCAAGAAAGGACAAGAGAGTGACCAAGGATGGCGAAATTCATTTCTAAGCCTCTCGGCTTTCATTGTTCTAAAAACAACTTTCCAGCTTCACAGGATCTGCACAAGGTTTGCTAAAGTCTCAGAACTGGAAGTTTGGCCTCAGGTGCCTGGCTTTGTTGGCAAAAATCAAAATAAGTAAAATGTAAAACATATTCCACGATTCCATATTCCATAATCTGGAGGGCCTGAGTGCAAAACCGTTTTATCTGAAGATAGGTAGACCCGTGTTCACCACCACAGATCTTGGGTATTCATATGTGGTGAGAAGACAGTTCAGAACAACAACATTGACAGCTTTTCAGAATCTCTTGAAGTTCCCTTACACAGTTTTCTCCGGCAATCTTCATTTTATCTTAATTAAAGCAAAATGACACAAAGGCATCCTGGTCGTCCATCTGCAGTCTTCCTTATGTGCATGGAGTGCTCCGAATGTGATATACAAAAGCTTTTCCAGCTGGGCAGCACCGCCACCTCACAGAGCAGGCTGAAATCGTGTGTGTTTGTGTGTGTCAAGAGCTTCTTCCCTTCCCAAGGGAGCCCATGCATGTTCCCAAACTCACCGCACTATACTAACTGGAGAGATCCAGGTCCACTGTGTGTACGTCTGGCCAATTCCTTGGCTCTCTTCCAGTCTTGTGCATATCATTTTGTTGTGGGGGAGGGAATGACTTTGTTTTCCATTGTTGGTTTTTGCTCAACACCGCAAAAGTTTGCCTTCTCTCTTCTTTTCTTGCTGTCATTATCTTGCTGATCATCAGGATTGTTTCTTGAATTGGAAATGAGCCACCAGGATCTAGAAGACTTGCGAAGGCAACAGTGTCACATTTGCTCATGCAGTGGGGATTCCTGACCTATTTGAGAAATTTCACTAGTCATAAGAAAACTCTTACCAAATTCCTCTGATGCATCAAATGAGAGGAACCCAAAATTAATGTCAGTTTTCACTTCAGTTAATATTGCTGTGATAACCCATTTAGATAATATTGCTTTTTGATTTGGGGAGCAGTTACTGGATGTTGTCCCAGGACTTTTAAGGGCCACTTGCAGCTATGGACCTCAGGGCCCCAGATTATGAATCTGGGGTTGCCTCTCTCTCATGCTATTTTTCCCCTCACCCAAGAAGACATGGAAATCTCCTTTTAGAATTTCATGAGCTTTAATACCTGTTTGAGCTCCTTCTAGTTCCATCATAAATTATTCTTCTTACAAGGAATCCAGAAGGTGCTTAGAGCATATGTTGCTCTGTTGGCTTGGTCAGAAACATTCTTAAGGAGAGGTTGCCAAGTAACAGTTTTTTGGGGGTAAGATCTTGTTCCCTTGTTCACACACTGAACTATTTATTTATTTATTTATTTATTTATTTATTTATTTATGTAATGTGTATGCCGCCCATCTCCCCCAACGGGTGACTATATATGATTGATTAATAGGTTAGTTTAACCTACATGGTTGCCATTAGCATTTTTAACATTCTAAAAATATTGTTTCCACAATACATGCAAATTAGGCACAGGTTTGCATTTGGGTGTGCATGACAGGGAGGCAGGGGAGAGAAAGAGAGACAGTTCAGTAAGGCTAGCTTTTGAATCAGAATTTTTGAATCAGTTAATTTAATTGACTGGTTAACTAAATATTGTTGATAAACTTCAGTTTAATATGCATATTAGTTTCTAGAAGCAGTTGAATCAGGCAAAAAGATATATTTTTGTATATTTAAGAACATTGCTTGAGGTAAAGATATATAGGGGGATATCTGGGATCTCTTTAAGTTCTTTCCAAATTCATATGGAGTTTTACCAGAGGGTATAGTAGAAATTTACCTCAGATTTCACCAGTGGATTACTGCAATGAGTTCTGCATGGGGCCTCTACCTGAAGACCATCAGAAGCTGCCACTGGTCTAGAATGCAGTGGGTAGTAATGAGCATGCCTCACTATGCCCCTGTGCCACCACTGCTCTGCCAGCTGTCCTTGTTGCCACTTGACTTCCAGGTGCAATTCAAGGTGCTGGTTATCCCCCATAAAGCCCTTCATGGGACATGGCCTAGTTACTGAGGGACCCCTGATCTCCAAGTGTGTCTGCCCATCCTGTAAGAACAGGCAGAGAGGGGCTGCTCCAATTTCATCCAATTCAGCTTTCTGCCTGGAGTCTAATGGCGCTGGGCGGCCTCTAAATTGAATGAATGTTGTGTCAATTAGATGGCCACTCCTAATCGGAATAACTGGAAAGAAGTAGTTAATCTTAGAAGATGATCTTTCTGCATCAGAAGAATTTAGGAGATGATAAGACTAGTGATGTTTAGTAAGACTTTCACAGAAAACAGAGCTTCTTTCAAAAGAGACCTGTTCAGCCTTGGAAGGAAGCAGAAGAAACTCTGCAATAGAGAACCTTCTGCCTGTCCATCCTCGCTGCTGTAAATTCATGTTAGATACGCTTATATGGTGGAAAAATCAGTTGCCATCTGTAAGTCTCTTGTGAACAGGTCCTGATCCAGGACAGTCCATTCCATCTTCTAGCTCCTGGTCGCTCTTTTAGCTTGTCATCTAGCATGCTTCCGCTTGCCTCAGTCAGTCATATTGATCTCTCTCAAGACAAACATGGACAGGAGTCCAGATAACTGGTTGGTATAACCTTTGTTTCTTCTTATTGTTTTTCATGTGAAATTGACTGATGCTGAGCGTGTCCTGACATAGTCCCCCGTTCCCTTCTGGCCCACCCAGTCCTTTCCCAGAATATCTAATGAACACAGGGGGTCTTGTCTGAAAGTTATTTAACTTCAGCGTACAGTACCAGGATATACAGTATAGGGAGCATCTGATGACCTAATTTTTGACACAAACACACAGGAAAGATTTTCAATAAATTCATGGGGTGAAAAATCCAAAATCCCTACTTGAGTGAGATGCCTATATTTCACCCAGTATTTCAAGTTTTCAAAAGTTTTGAGTCTTCTACTGTGGTCCTAATTCTTGTGGGTCTATGTAATGATCTTTTTTTTTCTATTCTGTCAATTGTAAGGTTTTTAATTATTTCCTGTACCCTGAATACAACTTGTAGAAATGAGATCTATCTTTTAAAAATAAAGCATAGGATTTGCCCACCCTGAAACTCAAATCCCATTCATTCTTCAGAAACCATGGTGTCTGTGTGATTTTTTTAAATGTAGCTGTAAAAAATTCTCTCTGGTCATCCCCAAGGTGGTCTTGGAATTTTATTTGATACCTGACACACTTTGAGGTAACCTGCGCACCTAGGTGCAAAAACTTTGAAAAGCAGCTTCCCTCTCCATTCATTTTTCCTGCCCCAGAGTTGTCGCATAGCCTAGCGCGGTCTGCTTCCTCCTTGTCTCCTTCTCCGCTTCCCCTTAGCTCTCCTACGTGGATTCTGACGGCAACCCCATTGGAGTGGTGCAGATGACCTTCCTGCGGCTTCTGAGTGCATCCGCTCACCAAAACGTCACCTACAACTGCTTCCAGTCTGTGGCGTGGCACGATGCCACCGTGGGCAACTACGAGAAGGCCATCCGTTTCCTGGGCTCTAATGATGAAGAGATGTCCTATGACAACAACCCTTTCATCAGGGCGGTTCTTGACGGCTGTGCAGTGAGTGATTGTGCAAAAGAGGGACGAGGGGGGGGGAGCTTGGCTCAGAGCCCACATTTTGCAGCCTCCTCATAGAATCTTCCAGACGGCTCATGTTGATAGCGTAACCTCTCATTTTCATTGGCGTGATTATTTAGGGAGGAGGGCAAAGGTGGGACAAAAAATAAGAGGCAATAAATCGGTTTTTGACTAATGTCTGAAAACAATTATTACTGCATATATTATCTATACACCAAATGAGTTTAATTAAGTGTAATATAATGATTTTTTTTATTACGGTGACTGACCAGAATTAAGTGTAATAATCATACTGAATTCTCCTGTAAAAGTCCAACTTTATGCGGAGAATATTACGTTCTTCTTTCATTAATAGAGATTAGCGTGAACCATCTTTTGGTGGCTGAATGTCCACAACTTTTGGGGAAAGGGTAGTACATGGGGCTATCTTTCGAAGTGGTGAGACCAGGGATCTCTGGGTGGTACCTGCCCTAAGATGCCAGAGCCGGAACCTCCGAACAAACGTAGGTTTTCAGCTCTAGAACGGGAGTAAACCAGAGACCCTGGTCTGAACAGCACCCTACACAAGAGTTATTGTTTCATCCGCCCTGGGCTCGTTTAGCCTAAAGAAGGGGAAGCTAATGAGAGACATGACGACAGTCTTCAGTCCTGGAAGGGTGTCACAGGGAAGAGGGGGTGGATACATCCCAAGAGCCGACAAGTAGCAGCTCTACAGGGAGAGATCTAAATTTGAAATAAGGAGGAGCGTCCTGCCCGTGAGAGCTCTTAAGCAGTGGCCCAGCTGCCTCCTGCAATCGTGGGGGCTCTCCAATGAAGGTTGGATGGTCTGAGGATTCCTGCCCTGGGGAAGGAGGTGGACTAAAAGACCTCCGAGGTCCCCTCCCACCCTACAGTTCTGTGAAAGAGAGGGAAGATTTCCGTAGCTGATGTGACTTAAGTTTGCATTTTGAAATTAATACGTAAATGGAAATACAGAATTTTGTAATGCAGTTTGTCAATAAGTATAGATGCAGATATACATTCAGATATAACGTCTGTGCAGTGCTTTCAGTTCAGTCTCCAGAAGATACCACAGAACACATGGAAGCACAAAGACAGTGTCTCTGCAACTCCTTAAGGGTCTGGAGTCTGCCAAGAGTTGGAGTGAGCAGCACGTAGCCATATTTTCCTGAAAAAGATGTCGCTGCTTCCCCACCTTGCAGGGAGGAGCCATGAGAGCCCCCCAGTGCCTCCAGAGCACTTTTTGGAGGTCAAATCCAGTGCTCTTAGGCCTAAGAGAAGGTTGGATGGCCAACCTCCGGCTATACAAAAAGGCATACAAAAATTCATACACATATGGAAAAATGCATTATATCAGGGAAAGTTGTTTGCAAAAACTGTGTATATCAGGCAGTATTTTGAACACAATGTACACATTTGAGAAAATATGCAGAAAAAGGTAATGGGAATTTTAAAAAATATTCCAAGTTACGGCAGACCAAATTTGATATGTGGTAAAAAAGATTGAAAGACACCAAAACTGGCTAACTTTGCTGCCCCAAACGTCAGCTGGCAGGAGCAATAGTTTGCATATTCAGTCTAAGCCAGGATTTTAAAAAACCGAATGCAGCATTGAACAACACAGTGCTTTCGAGCAGCAGGGTTGGGCTGAAGAAAAAGTAATTGAAAGTAGACAAAATGATAGGTTGATTCTGCCGGTTAATGCACCTGAAAGGTCTCTATCATTGCGAACATGGCATCATTAATACTGCCCTGACTTGTCCTGCTTTCTTCCTCTTGCAGGCAAAGAAGGGCTATCAAAAGACAATCTTAGAAATCAACACACCCAAAGTTGAGCAAGTCCCCATTGTTGACATCATGTTCAATGACTTTGGGGAAGCGTCTCAGAAGTTTGGATTTGAGGTGGGACCGGCTTGCTTCATGGGCTGAGGGCCACTCAGAAGACTTGTCTCCAAAAGAGCAACTTCGTAACCTCATTGCGCCTTCTATTTTTGGCTACTTTTTTTTTTTCGTCATCACGTGCACGTTCTGAAACTGGACAGTTTGATGGGTTTGTTTTTTAATTGTTCTCCTGTTTACCCTGAATGTCAACTTTGCCACAAGACCCCAACCCCGTTGAAGCCCCAGTCAAAAACAGGACCATGCCCACCACAGACTCCAGAATCACATGACCTAAAGCATCTCCGATTGGCCAAAGCAATCTTTTCCTTCTTTGCTATGCATCTTCTTGGAGACCATCAAAGGGCTCAGCTCTTGCGCTTGAATGTATGCCTCTTTCTCGAAATCAGAAACATTCCGGCATGAGACTCTGCCAACGCGGTTTCATCTGCTTTCACTTCAGCAGCTTCTCTGCGTCTGATGGAAGACTTTCCAGCGATAATCCAGTTTCCCATCCCTGGGAAGTCCTGAAAACACCAGAGAAAACCATCAGCCAGGCAATTCAGCCAACGTCTTATCTCTGTACAGAAATATGGACTAAGAACTCTGAAAAACCCTTCTAGTTTGGATTCTATTCTTTGCTGGGGTTTCTCTCAGAACCTAGATGGAACATCGCCACCCCCAGAAACATTGATCTGGTCTTCTTTCCTGGTTAGTTCATAAAAGAAACCACAGAAACCAACAACATTTAAAAATGCCAGGTTCTGACTGTATACCCCATATGATAAAGGTGCTTCTATTTTTGTATTTTGTAAGTAAATATTTGTATATTATTATATTAAATATTAAATGTTTCTGGGTTCAAAACATGCATGTGATTCACCCATGCCCACTGGTAATTTAACGAGCAACCTTTCTCACCAGCGTCCAAGACACCTGCTGAGACCAAAGTAGGAATAAGCAACGCTCAGGAAGCAGGTTCCCTCAGAGAAAAGTGCCCCCCCCGAATGCCGTCAGCCTTAGAACTGAGGTGCCATAGCTTTGCAGGCATCCAAGCAAACGGGATTGAAATTAACTATCTGCCTGAACACTGGGGGAATCGAGGCAGGCGCGTCTCCAAACAAAGGAAAAACGGGTGCGAGGGTGAGGGCGCCTTTGCTGCCAAATACACCAGCAGTTTCCTTCTAAGAGTTTTGATTTTTGTCAGCTCTGACAAGCAGTAAAGATTTATGGCCAGCTCCCACCCCCCACCCCCCGCCCCCTCATTCTTCGGGCTTTACCTAGTGCAATGTACAGGTTTGTTTTTAAAAAATACCTTTTACCAAGAAAATCTTTTTCCCCTCAAACTTCTACTTCAATTCAGAGGGCTCTATATGGCAGGGAGACTCATTTATGTT